CTTAAGCTCGAGACACGTACTCAGTTAAGGTCGTTGATTGATTAGCCAACCAAGCTACTCAAACCATCTTGATCACTTCTCGAAGCTCCAAACTGCTCCTGCAACCGGTTAAGAGTAGATTCTGGTGTCAGGATGTGTACCAGTAGAAAACTCCGGAGTAACTCCCCTAGAATGAAAACAAAGTTTGACAACGAGGGAAATCTTTTGCACCTGAACCATTGGATCATCCATACTGAGCATAAATTCCAGGTTCTACTCCACTTCGGAGGCTGCGCCGGTTAGGTCTTATAGTTCGCAAACCTACCAACTAGCTGTCTGGTGTGCATCGCTTTCCAATCATGAGGCCTACCAAGTAAAACTGAGAATTGGTCAACTGATCAATTTCAAAACAGTCTGATGAATACTACAAAAATGCTGTGTTAATTTGGTGGGAGGAGGGGGGCTCAGAGTCGATCATAGCAATGGTTCCTCCGTTGGATAGGCAGTATGCATAAAGTCAGCGGTGCTCTTGCACTGGTTTCCGTACTTCACAATTTTGAATCCTCTAACTGATGCTTTCATTTCTGCTCCATTAATCTTAAATTATTATCAGTATTATTGCTTATACTGCTGATATTATTTAGTCAGGTCGAGTCAAGAATGGTCTTTGCGCATCAACAAAGGTGAAAATTCAGCGCTAGTGAAAGGAATCAATGCCACTGTATCCAACGCAGTTCGGCGCTGGAAACTCAGTTGATAAACTGAACTGAACAAGCACCAGGATTCTCAGTTAATAAAAATAATAATAATAATAACCATTATTATTATTACTACTACTATTACAGTTATAATCAGAAATTAGTGATTATCACTTCTTCGAGCACACCACCGAGCACAACTGACAACACTCACCACAACGGTTGTTGATTCATTCATGACTTGTTTGGAGTAGCCGTGTTCGCTTCCAAGTTGGGTTAGCTCCAGTTGAACCGTGTAAACAATCACAAAGCCTGTCGTGAATTGCATACTTCAGATGTGGCTCCAATGACAGGACTGACGAGGAGCACACTTCAACATGAAGCATGGCCCAGAATGAGACGGCTTGTTTCGGTCGACTCACACACAGGGCACTTGAAAGCAAAACCAAGCCGTCTGATATAGGTCGGTACATCTGCGGATTCCACGGTACTCGACCGACAGTCACACGGTCGACATTGGGCCGCAGCAGTCGTTGGATTTCCGGAGAAAGTGCGAAGCCAGGAGCACAGTAAGCAGTCTGCTATTAACATCTTGCCGGTAGCACAGGTGGACCTGGTCCTCAAGGGCTTAGTTGAAGTACTGTTATTTCCAGCCACGGCGCCGAGACACAAACTGCTTTGGTACTTTGGCGGTCCTAGTGTTTGGCCGGTAGTCCGAGTCACCCCCATCTGAATAGCTTGGACAAACAGCTTGACGTGATTTGTATTTCATTGGGGAGAGTAAGCGATAGTGCCCGGAGCTCGAGCTGTCTGGGGCTGGATTGGAATTATACCACAGACGCCTTAAATCAAACTGTTGTGACAATTCTTAGTTGCCAGCCTTCATTTTGTTACCGTTTGTCTGGGCGTTTGGTTAAACGCATCATTTTTTGCGTTGATTAGCCGGCCTAGGTCGTTCGTAACGGATGTCATCTCAGGGGCCCATTTCCGCTAATAACATTTCCTCGAACTCGCCTGATTGGTGCTTTCGTTTACCACTTCTCATTTGCTCGTATTATTCAGTGTCTCCCAAGAGGTTGGTTGGCTCCAAGGTGTTTTAGTACCTTCGCTTCATCCAATATAGTATCATATATAAAGAAGCAGCGTTCTCACTCATTGAACTCGGTCCTGGCATCTTCTCTCTTCAGTCGTGAGGTGTTTACTGGTCGGCGGCGATACAATAGCTGTATAGACCAATCCAATCAAAATGAGTCGAATTAATCCAGAATTGCCTTAGATGCTCCAATGTGCTTCTATTGTCCCTTATCGCTTATCACTACGCATGTTATGATCCTTTGTAAATGAAATATTCAGCTCGACATCTTCACTCAGCCACACAAACACCCAGCCATTTGGAAGAGTATTAGATGACTTATGAAAACAAAAATTGGTCACCAAGGGAGTCGCTTCATGGCTATTCCCAAACTGCCACTCCACGTCCGGAAAAGTGCAGGACGATTGGTTTTCTTTCCCAGGTCTCGCCAACTTTGTGCATTCTGTCTGCCTTCAAGCACCCCTGACAAATCGCCAATATTATACGAATCTCTTTCGTCTAGTACCAAGGGAAGAAGCAGTAATGGCCCACGCTATCATATCATGTTATCGGACGATGGCGGTCCAGCAGAGAAAGTCACAACACGGGGGATCAATTCTGTTCATCACACTGTCTACCTTCCCACAGTCAATTGCATCCATGGGGCTTCTGAGTTCAACAATAAGAAAATGATGTTCCCCTATAGATCTCTTGAGATGGTCCTCAACGCTATCGAATTGCATCCAGTGAGTGTAAAAACCCTAGTTTGTATAGGGTGATCAATCACAAATCAGCCAATATCATCCCACTCTGGGTAATATGTTATACTATTGGCTGAGTCGTTCCGTCACATACCTGCAATCGCTTCTAACCTAAGGGAGGCAAGAGCGAATGGACTAAACCATATCACCAGATGCCACAGGTACTCGATGGCGGTGGAGACGACGGCGACCGCCTTGTCTAAGTGGTGCTGATCGGGGGGGGGGGGGGGAGTGCCGGCGCCATCACCACTAAATGCCATATGGTGGGCAGCATTCGCCTACCACGTAAATGGTTCCGGAAGTTAAAGCAGCACTTGAGGCACAACAACATGGATAGACCAGTGGCCATAGTTTGTGCAAAGACGATGAGGAATTCGAATGCGTATAGTACGAATCAATTCTGACGGACCCAGGTTGGTAGTCAGTCTGCCAAGCCAACTAAAGATAGTTGATTTCGTAATCTTCGACACGATACGCAATTTCTAAATGTATCAGTAGCTCTATATGATGTCCAGGCAAAGTAACCTCTTCAGAAATGTGCCTAGAAACACAGAACCAAAGGGTTTTACCACCTGGAAATCTTCAGAGTGCCTAATGGGTGTTGACGACGACTGCATGTTGCTCTAACAGTATAACAAATAATAAGTGATTTCACAACCCACGGAAGCACAATAATGACACCGACCCAAAAGGCAGCCACATAGAGCATTGTTGCAATTATATATCTCTTCGGGTTTACCTGTCCTGCCTGACGTGTCCTGCTAGACTCCGGTGCAGTTACTCATATATTGGTTAGATAGGTCACTTGTTCATTATGGCATGCCGAAAGAATCGAATCGGCCATTCTTCAGGACGTTAGCGCACCCGTTCGGAGACCCACAATACACCTACGTGTTTCCATGATTCAATTTTCATCCGGCGTCTTCCGTCCGCTGAGAATTCTGTCTCCGAGTCACCTCCCAGTCATATATATATATATATATATATATATATATATATCACCTCTTAGCTACGGACGTTGATACTATTAGGAGAATAGTTATTAGACATTCATTTGTTTGTGAACGGGCTTAATAGCCAACTTTTATTCTTCCTATTTTCTACTCCTTGATTGTGGTTTAAACATTCCACTGTGTTAGCCCGATTGGTACACACACGACATGGTTACTGGACACGCATCGCCGTGTCATCTTCAGCAGTGCCATTTGCATGAACACATTCCATTGGTTTTTCTCCGCAACACGTCTACTTGGTTATGTTAAAGGAATATTTAGTTGTCACCCAATTATTGTACTCGTGTTTACTTTTTGGGTTTGCACTTCTTATTCTCATTTGTTTCGTGACATTTATTTAAACGCTACATTTCGTTATTCTGATTGGCCAGTGCCCGCCACTCTAAATGGATGTTCGCTTTACGCTTGGGGTCCCATGATGCTATTTTTAAGGACATATACGATTCGCTCTTGAGTATACGGTTGCTTATTCGCACGTTGCATTTGACGTTTTTTCTTCTGTTGGTTGGCTCAAGTGTACTTTAGTAGCTTCCCTTCATTTTGCTTTCAAACTATATAAGCAAAGGTGATTTCATGTGTACAAGTCTCGTTCTGACTCGTCTTTGGACTTCTTGCGGTCCCGGGGTGAATGCGTCAGTGGCCATAACAGATACCTCAACAAAGGATCCAAGTGATCCCGTGACTCCACCACTTGAAGCCTGGCATGACCTTTACGTGATGGGGCCATCGACACGTAAGCTCGCCTACTCGCACTTACCTGAGTAGTTAAAAATCAAAATTTAAGCTTACCTGGCCACGGGTGTGTTAGCGGCTACGGATGCCACAGCCTCATTTGGTCGGTAAGTGTTAATACTCACAAGGAATTCAGTGAACACCACCACACCAAGTGAAACCCGTTGAGCCATTCACTGAATTTGTGCTCAACCATATTCCCTACACGCTAAGACTACTGGAAGCTGTCAGTATCGACCGGGGGTGGCCAATGCTTTGGGCGTAGAACCATCTGACCGCAACCTTGTACATACGGTGGTAGCACGAATCGCGCTAATTTGCCACCGATCGATCTCACGTGCCTACTGCTTGTTACGAATATTATCGGGCGGCTATTTGAGGTGAACCAAGATGGGAGGGGTGACTGAGTTACCACAAATTACGTCTTCCGGCCTTTTAATCTGTGTTATAAACGGAATTTCTTGTTATTGTAACATAAATATAGGCTATAACGCTTGCATCGTCAACCTCCACTAATACTTATTGGATGGTTTAGCATAAATGGACCGAAAGTGCGTCCCAATAAAAATTTCGTCGGCTAGCGCAGCTTCCGCGTCCGGTTGTGCCATACTCCAATTCCGCAAATCACATGTATTTATTCACTCAAGCAATTAGTGCACAGTTGCACACACTACGATTAGGTTGGTTTCACAGAGGACTCAAAACAGTCAACTTTATGCATGCATCATTACCAATGGAGACTTACCGTCCAGATTTGGTGATCACCATCTCCGTGGTCATTCTGTGAAAACTCCGCCACAAATCCGCATCAACCAGTTCAACAGTTAGCACCTCCTTTACCTTTGGTGTCACTTGCGTGTGGATTTGACGATCAAGAGAAGGCGTTAGTCCTGCCCGACTGTGCGCAGTTGTGTGACCGAGACGCCTGCTGGAGAAGTTTACATCCTCCGAGCTGTAGCAATGGTCATCGGACTCTATTGGGGGTGACCAAGGGCTTTGATTCGGAGACCGCACACTTAGAGGTGAAAAAATGAAATGCGAATGAGGCGAAAACTCGTTCGATCGTTTTCGACTGCACGTTTCTGCAGAGGACTGTAATGGAGATTCCGTCTTTCTAGTCTCAAATTGACGTGACGCTCCATTCAAGTGGGAGTGTGTCAGGCTTTTCACATGATCATTGGTTGACAAGGTCGCTGAACTGCTTACACCTGTCGGACTCAAAGAACTCAACGAGAAGAGTGTGCTACTCAGCAATTCGAGTGTTCGCGTGTGGTCCGCCGAATGAATTCCCTGAAACGATGAGTTTCTGGTACCTCCATGATCCAGGTAGCGCGACGCAACCACATTTAGTGCGCTGATCACCGAATGCAAGTGGTCAGTTGGGTTTACAGTGGTCTGGTCGCGCCGAGTAATTACTCCATGGATGAAGGAATGCTGTCTGGTGTCCCGGAATTCCAGTACCCGTGCCGGGTTGCCGGTGAGGCAGCTATCACTGGGACGTTGTGAAGGTGGAGGGTCCTCGATGGAACCATTGGAGTAACCGTTTAGTATCTGATGACGTGATGTGGCATCCATGGTGGCGATGAGTTTAACAGTGGGTGACGCTTCGGAGCTCAGTTTCAGTGGAGTCCGAGAAGCGGCTCAAGCATGCATCACTGAAACGCTTACTCACATGCTCGGCTAACTGAGATCTGACGAACACACGACGTAAATGGTATCAGCTCCGTAGTGTCAAGTGGTCACCCGGTCGTCGCGCTAACAGCATGGTTGTCCACCTGGTGTGAGCTTATTGGACATGTAGGATGCACCTTGTACCGGTGACAGGAATTACACCATGCCATAGGTGTGTACGTGAGTAGGCGCAAACTCGACAGCCAATCTGGGGTGACCTGAGGTGTGACAGTACAGTGCTATGATTGGCTTGGCGCGGTTTCGGCGCACACGCACCACACACCGTGAATTATATTCAGTATGGGTGTAGTGCGTCCGTACGAAAGCATGTTCGGGGGGTTACGAGTGGCTGCCTCCCAGCTGTGCGGACATAGTCACAGACGACGGCAGGTGTGAGTGAAGAGTAGCGTTCCTCGTCGTGCACTTCAGCTTAGCGCATGCTCTCAACGCGGACTCGTGTTATCCTCTATCGAGTAAGCAAACTTTCCGAGGCCGTCTGATGGAACGAAGTAGTCTGGAATCTTTCTGAAGCAATGCTGACCGGAACAAGTATGCAAGGAGTGGTGCGTGCGATCAGCTTTCTTTTCAGTGGGTTCATCACACACGAATGTGACAAAATGAGTGCGTAAAACTGTACTCTTGCTATCAACCAGCCTTGCTTTTCTGGGTCTCGATACCACTATGCGAGGTCACAAGTTTCGTCCATAGCCCTAGTTCGCGTGTACAGTATCGGGTGTCTAGGTCATTTAGGCCGTAGCGATCCGAACTCGATTGGCTACTAATCCGCGCGTGCAGTCCTATCGCTGAAGAGCGCTTCCTCCGTTCCTACTAGGAGTCAAAAAGACGAGGGTGGGTTATAACGATGAGATTCAATTTATGTTTTGACCGAACCATAACCGCCTTCCCCCGTTAATGGTGTTGAGAATGCAGGAGAACCGAAAGAGAATTCCTAATTATTGTCTTAGGAACACTGGACTGTTTACATATCATGAAAGCTGAGCTGAGTGTGCAAAATCCAACTACAGCACTGCAAGCGCGTGACCAGACAAAGCCAATTAGGATGGAGGAATTACAGAACCAATCGGATGCACGCGACGAAGGGGAATTGATTGTGTTCGTGTCAGAGTTGAACTATGCCCCGCAAGCAGGTACCTCAGTTGCGACCGGCCCAAGTAGTTAACAAAATGACACATTAAAACAATCTCCAGTGAATAATCGCAACAACAAGATATTCCGTAAGTATGGACCCTGGCATAATAAGCATACCTGGATTTTCATCGCTCTTCTACCATTTGTTCTTGAAATATAAGTTCGTCTAATCCACTTAGCTCTTTCGACGGAGATCCACCTCGAGTGATCATGCAACTATTTTTCTGCTTTCCGGACTCATGCGTGTTCCGTTTCCTGAACGCTCCACAAGCTACATGCCTATTCTGGCAAAATCCTTAAGCAAATCATAGTTTAGTACTTCGGTAAAATCCTCTTCGTCATTGTACGATGTCACCATGTTCTTCATATCACACAGTCTCATTTGATTGGTATGGCAGATCCATATATGTGTAACAATACAGATTTCATATATCACCCGGTCATGGCTCCGTACGACTAATCCAGTAACCATTTGATCCTGTGCACCTGTTGAGAGACGTCAGATATTGGTGTTTCAATTTCAAAATTACTTGGCTATACCCCATGTTGCCTGTTTATTGGATTTATTCCACAGAATTCTTACGGCGCATCGGTTGGCGTTTATTGATCATCAATCCACAGATGTTCTCAGTGTCCGACCCATAAGAAATTCAGTAGGTGACTTTCCATCTGGTGCACTGTGGTTCCGAGTAACTAGATAAATCAGTAGGAATGTCTCTACCCTTTCTTATAGCGTCCATTTCCGTTTCGACGGCTACGGTACTCGTTTCATTGAATCGATGGGTCAGTCAGCCTGTGTTCGATTCCACTGCGTGAACAAAGCTAAGCAAATTAGTAGGACGTGAACCGCGATCCGCTTTCCGACGCAATGGTTCCCGTTAAACTATGCTGGCTGAAATTGCGTCGCGATGCGTGTATTTTACAGACTGCTGATGTATTTTGGTTCACAATTACTTACATCTACTTGCTATGGGCATCAACAAATAAGATGAACGAAAGTTCACCAACTTGGCTCGCAAAATTTACCTAAATCCGTGAGCACGGTGATTCTATTATGTGTCAGAACTACAGTGTAGTTCGCACAGATGTCTTGTAAGCACACGAGTAGCTGGAATAGGCCTGACCAATTTCTTTAGCTCGCGATCAAGCATCATCCAAAGCCGCAGCTCTGAGCCAGTGCCTTCACTCAGGCAACCCACAGATGACGTTTGTGGAGTTGCCTTAAAGGGCGTCTCTGCAAGACTTCTGATGTGACGCTGCGGTCAATGAAAAGCGGGCAGGATTCAATTTCTGACAAAGAATCGTTCGGCGTTTGAAATGAACACGTTCTTATTTTGAAAGCTCTTTCATACATGAAATGTTCGTCCCTCGCCTGAATGGACGCTTGCTTCCCAATCAAACCCGAATTCGCTGGCCCCCCACAGGACAGAAAGAAGACCGGATCGGACGAGCAGAGCAACAGGAATGAATTAGCAAATCACACCGTTCAATATCAAGGTAAAATGGAAAGTTCGTGAATAGTATATAAAGCGACCGTGGAAAGTTCTGGAAAGGTTAACTTACAGTCAATAAAGGAACTTCGACCTAGCGTTCATTGGCCGCCTCTCCTGGTTGGCTTTCTGTTCGCCCCCAATCAGGGCGGATGAGTTTGGATCACCGGCTGCGGCGATGGGGTGCTGGCTTGTTCGACTCGCGTATTCCTTCCTAACAATGCAGATCGAGTTTGCAACTGTTTTAGTGTATGATCGATTGAATAATTGTATTTATTTGCGTAAGCGTACCGGAATCGTTGGCATTCGTCTAACGACCTCACGCTTGCCAGCACCTATTTTCTAGCAACCTAGAGCGCATTGGGCTGACGGCTCTTGTGCCTCTTAAGATTTGCAATCCGTTCATACTTGCAGTGCATTTATCAGCCTATTATTAGTGGCAATTAGCCAGTTTGGGTATTCCTTCGAGGTAGCAACTCATGCTGTGGCATAGCAAGTACTTTTGCCTCCCGGGGGTGGTAAAATTTTCGCCCTAAGTGGGTGCAGAATAGGCGCGTGAAGGTCACACAATTGGCTCAAGGTAAGTGCACATTCGCTTTTGATGAAGTGGATGGTCGTTTGGGACACAAACTGTGGTGAGAGTGACCACAATGGGTTAAGTAAGGGATTGCTGGAAAGAACGTTTGTGTTGTTGCTTATGCAGAATACCACTGAAATAATCAGCCCTCAGCTTATCCGGATATTTTGTTGTTTATATTTGGTAGCTCAAAAGTGACGGTGCGAAAAGTGTCGCCCCCTTGTCATATGGTGTCCGATGCGGACCGCATGACCCCGCACTGCGCCGCTGAATTCATGATGTCGCTTTGCCTCAGCCGACTGCTTCTTCGGTGGCCCAATAGAAGTCGGGGGCCGCTTCAGTTTTACCTATGTATTCAATGTGGCTACTCGATACGCACTACAACTTGGGTGGGGATCAATGTACTCACGTTACTCACTGAACTGGGAGAACAGCAGTGATGAACAGCTGCTCCACGTCCATCGTCGTTGGCGCCGCAGACGTCATCGCGGTCACAGCTGAGTGACCATCTCTCCCTACCGTGCTGCTGTCGAATGGATCAGCGCAATTGTGAAGGGTTTTTCGTTTTCCTGTTCGTACGCTTGAGTGATCTGTCAATTTTCCTCATCCATGTGTCCGAGAAACAGTGACTCGACTGGTGTGACCAGCATCACCTGCTGGGCGGTGCCTGGCGCCACCCGATGAAAGAGCCTGAGGTATGGATAAATATCGGGCTGGGGAATTATCACAGTGGTCATTAGTGTGCATAGTCTATGCGAACAAGCTTGACAACGCGGAGGTCATTGTCGCGCGGCTGGAAAGGCGGGCTCTGTCCCATGTGCAAACTGCATACATCAAAATGCAGTAGGCAGCACCGTTGTGTGTGTGTGTACCTTTGTCCAGCACCGGTGGAATTGACACCGATCTTGGTGGCGTGTGGTAGCAGAGTGGTGTACAACATCGACGCCCCCATTGAAGTTCATTGTATACTAGCCGTTGTGGTAGTAACCATGACACTGTTCGTCGACGTGAGTGATGGTGTGACACACGGTGTCGGTGGGGGTAGTGCTGAACTATGGAGTGGGTGAGTAAAACTCACGGGCATAGCCAGTGAACCGCCGGCGTGAGATCCAGTCATTAGTTGGGATTTGAATTAGCGTTTTAAACAGCTGTACTGTCATAAATGTTAACTAGCAGCTTCCAGGGTGAAGTGCTGTGGTCCTGTTGACTAGCCCCTGACAAATAGAGGCGAGATGAATGTTGAGAGTAAGAGCAGTTCTAGGCAACTAATCAATATGTGCAACTAGGTTACGGGGCTTAAAAACCGGTTTTCCTCACTCCTAACGCTACCATTTTTCGTAACTAAATGGAAGTAATCTGAATAAATATCCAGATGCCCATCATTTACACTGTTCACTCTCTTCACCGGGACATCCCCTTATGCTCCATTAATAGGTAGTGGCATAACAGACGAACCACTGTAAATGGAAGACCTTCATTGATCCCATCATTCGAACTGGTTTTCGCTACTACGCATCGGGTGATGCAGGAAATGTTGACCTCATACAGATCACTTGTCATTTAATTTAACCGCCTCGGCCCACTCCGTCAACGCCCAATACATCACTCCGTTCACGCTGGTATTTGATTGCGGTAGTGTTCCACCAGACTGTAGCGCGAAAATTCAAATCAATAATAGACGAGAAAAAGAATAATTCCCTTGACATAAAGGTCTTTTGTTCCATTTCCAGCAATAAACAACTATATTCTGTTACTTTACTGAATTTATACCTTTCAAATTGTTCAGTACGCAGTTAGATAAGAGAACAA